GTGATGACTATTTAAATAAATAAAAGTGCTGATAGGGTTTTTCAAGGTCTGACCTGTATTAAATGTCAAGAAAAGTTACTCTCACAAATTGCCAAGTAGTAGTCTTTTCTCACCTTTTTGTAGTAGTATTGGGATTGCACTTTCTGCAGCAGAATGAGGTTTTTTGGTTTGGTTTTGGTTTTTGAGTTTTTTTAATGAGATTTTATAATGTGTCCTAAACATTAAGTATTCAGACACATAGAGGCAAAGCACATTGAATGACCTAGTAAGCTAGGGGGTTTTGCAGTTTAGGAATGGTACTCCTCACTTTAGTGCTCCCACTGAGACTCTACAAACCACATGCTTCTTGCTTGCTCCCCTCCTTCCCTTCCCCTGCAGTGGGCTGGAGAGGAGAGTAGGAGGCACAAAAGAGAAAGATGATGGGTTGAGATAAGAGCAATTTACTGGAAACAGCAATGAGATAAGAAAATTAACAGTAACAGCAACAGTACTAATAACTAAAGTGTACAAAAGAGAGGAAGTGATTCACATGCAAGAATATTCACCTGTACTCACCTGCTGGTCTGGGTTGGAGCCAGCATTACCCAACCCATCCTCTGATCAACCAGAAGGAACCCCTTCTCCTCAGAGAAGGGGATCCTTCTCCTCAGTGTGTCCTCCCCACACCTGGCAATGGCATGAGGTGGTGTAGGATAGCCTCTGTGTCCTAGACATGCCTCCCCTGGCTACTGCAAAAATTAACCCTACCCTGGCCAGGAGGAAATGAAGTAATTAACCATTTTTCTTATAATATCTGAAATCAATGTAAAATGCGAAGAAAACATGTAAAAAAAGAATATTGATGGTAGGGGTTTTTTTTTCTTTTTTTTTTTTCTTTTTCAGACAGCCTTTTAAGAAGGCCTATGACACTAGGGCCTTGTTGGAGTAGGGTGTGTGTCCTTTTTGAAATTGCTTCAGTGATGAACTTCAGTTATCTTCATATTGGAGTTTAAATGCTTTGCAGGATCAAAACTTGCAAGCATAAACAAGGCTGGAATGGACATTTAGAGTAATTGCAATTCTATCTGGGACTGGGCAGAAGATGTGCAGCAAAGGGGAAGGACACTTGCCTTATAATGTATGCAATGTTTATTTCCATAAAGGCTTTGAAAAACTTTGAGGGCAAATTGTGTGGGAAGAATGACACTTTTGCTGTCAGTACCTGTAACATAATTAGAGTATCTGTAATCAATGGAGCAGTGTTCATGTGACAGACTGTCCTGTGGGCAGATGATCTGCTGCAGGAGCAAATGTGGGCTAATGGAATAACTCTGGGAACTGCCCACAGGTTCCTTCTGGAAGTTTTCTTCACAAGGACTGACTTCAGATGTTTTTTCTTTTTTCCTACTCATAGCTCCAGCACAGCAATTCCTGTAGGCAAAGCCAGGAAAGGTGGGGCAGAATATCTGAAGAATGTTGTGAACCTGAGTTCAGAAAGGCTGATGAGAATCCCTTGCAGTGGCACTGGCCTATTGAGAGCTTGTTGCACATTTGTAGCTCTTGTTAGTTCTGTAAATCCGTTCCAGAAGAAGAGTTGGTGTTGCATAGGTGCTGGGTGAATAAGAAGGAATTTGTTTTTAGTTCAGGAGTGTTCAGCAATGACACTTGGAAGAGCTCAGTAGGAAGGAGTTTGTATTAGTCTTAGGGGCTAATCAGAGTATTTCATTCAGTTGGAAATGTGCTTTCAGTGGGAAATGTTTATGGATGCCTGTTCTTTTCAGCACTATATTTTAGCGATATGACTGCTAGCTTTAGCTTTAAACGGCAAGTGGAAAATCAAATGGAGTATGAGTTTCAAGTTAGCATTCCTGCTGTTGAAAAATGGTCATTATTTATTTTATAACATCACAAAGGTACCTTCCTCCTGACAGCTCTGTGGGTCTCCTTGCCTTTCAGAATTTAAGGCTGCCATGTGTGCTTTGCAAAATGTGCTTTACACATTCTGTGCAGTAAATATTTATTTTTCTCTTAAAATATTTGTCAAGAATCTCAAAATTTAGTATTGTTATTTCAGATAATTTTAGGCATTATATATTGAAGTAGTATTAAGTGGTGGTACAAAAAGCAGTGTTAGAAAATCTATTTTCAAATTTTTAGAATCCTCTAGGAGGGTTTAATTAAAAGTGTCGTACAGTTAGTAAAAATACGTGTAAATTCAGCAATTTTTTTTTTGTTATTTTTTCCCTTAAAAAAGGGAAAGCTTGAGTTCTCTTGTATGGGGTAAATTTCACTCTGTTTATGTCTTAGCTTTGCTGCAAGTCAGGACTTGTACTATTCCTCTAGGTTGTCATAGAAACACAGCTAACTGACATCTCAACTCAGGCTGCTCATGGTTTAATTTGTGGGTTTTCAAGATTATTAAAATTTAACAAAAATTATTGATTTGCTTTTATTAACACTGGCTTGTGTTTACTTTAGAAGTTCAAACTGCATAAAAGCTTTTCCTGGTAGAAAAATACCTTTAAAATTATTAAACCCTGGTACTCTAAATAAGAGATCATCAAATGCATTTAATATATCAAAGTCTGAAGCAGTAATCTTTAATTTTTGAAAATCACCTTTTTATTTCATTTTGTTTACAGTAAAGTGCCCCAACCTCATTTCAATTCACCTTTTAGCTTGACTTTTATTTAGCATAGAAGATACCTGTCAAGAGAGCGTGAAATAGGTACATCATCATGCCTAATATTTGGGAGTTTTCATTTTATTTACTTTCTTTGAAGCCTGGCAGAATGCTTTGGTGCACTGACTTTTGAAAGTATATATTTTTTGTATATGCATGTGCAGAAAAAATTACTTAGTTTTCACTCATAAATAAGACAGGTAAAACTTATTTACAGTAACTTTATCTAATGGTCCATGGATGAATGATTTTATGCAAACTACTCCAGAGACTAGAATTAACTTTTCATGTTGGTTGCACATTGGATGTCCTGGCCCCAGCAACATGTGGGATCTTATAAAAACTAGATGACTGGAGTTCAATTTTTACTTTTATGAATTTATTCAATGATTGCCCATGCATTTCAAGTGTAATCTTTGTAAGCAATGTATAAAACGTAGTAATGTGTTAATTGTTATAAAATGGACACATACTTCCTTGCACTCTCCTTCCATCAAATTTATGCTTTTTACTTTGACTTTACCTCCTCCCTCTACCTTGTAGCCATTTATTAACGATCTGTAGGCATGAGGAATTTGACTGATTTATATACAGACCTGTAATTTGACATTGTCATTCTGTCTAGTAACAACTTTGTTCAGTGTTAGATTTACTGAATAAAATTGTTTCTTAGTGGACATTTTGACATCCCACTTCATAATCCTGCGTCATGTACTGCTGACATCCCTGTATTAATCTCATTTGTATTCTCTCATAAAACTCTCACATAACATTTTAAAACAGACTTTCTTTGCAGTATATTTCTATAAGCACGGGACTAAATATTGGGTGTTTCCATAGGTATGTATGGCTTTTTTGTGCTTTGTATGAGGTGCACATGTTTTGTATATGATGGTAGCACACATAGTAAACGGCCGTACTATTTAACTTGGGAAAGACTGGCTTTAGTACTGCAAAAGCAATTGAAACAAAATACATTTTATTAACCTGTTAACTTGTCTCTCTTCCAAATTTTTTTTGCATTGTGTCTACAGAAAAGTGTTGCACAATTACAGTTCTGCTGTAGGCTGACACTGTGCTTTTTTAGGAATTGGAAGGCAGTGGTTGGTGGGAAGTTAAGGCACTCCTTTAACTAGAACACTGCACTGGTATATTCTGGTTACTTAAGAATGAAAGATATGTTTTATGTGGGAAACATACTCAGTGTTGATGTATTCATTACAGTCAGTAGCAAGTGTAGGAGAATATTATTGCAGGTATACTGTTTCCCAGTGAGGACCAAGGGATATATAAGGGTTTGTGTATGTCTGTGCATGTATAAGATTAACTGAGACTTACTGAAGCCTGTGGAATCTCTCTGGCATTGTATTTCTGTAGACCACCTGTTATAGATAGATGCCTATGACCAAAGAGCTATTTTGCAACTAGGATTTTCTTTGCCTAAGAGATAAGCATGTTGGTCTTCTTTGAGTAATAAATTTGCTGCTTGGGTTTCTTTTTTTTTTTTTTTTTTTTTTTTTTTTTTAGCTTGGTTTCCTTTCTCTTCACTCTTTGCCCCATGATCCTTCCTTGCATTTAAGTAGTGATTGAGTGATAATACCTAACATGCTTGAAAAGAGAGGAACGCTTCAGTATTTACCAGAAAAAAAATCCTAACATGCAGAAGATAAAGGTGATTCATAGGAGTATAATGTGCCCAGATCCTCTTCCCAGAAAACATATTTATAGTATTTTTTTTACCATAAGCCCAATGGTGGATTGTATATAATTAACTTATTCCTAGTGGATTCTTCTTATTTTTGTTCACAGCATTTTGCATCTATCCTTCCTACAGAGGTGCAGCATCTTGTAAAGGTCGTGAAGTATCTAGTAACGTGCATGCTTCAGCTTTCAGTTCATTGTGGCTACAGTGGCACACTTTATTTCGTCATCATTCATTACCATATCCATCCTTTTTGTATTTTACTTCTAAATTGCAAATGTCTAACTTTATGTAGCAAAGTACACATGCACATTTTTCCTGCTTTTTAGATATCAAGTGCCTCCTACAGCTAAATTGACACGCTGCTATACAGACTTTGCACTCAGAACTTTGGAGTAAAAAGAAAAACCAGTAACAAAAAAGCACAGCCCAAACGCCTTCAGATGATTAAACTGTGAAAGTTTGGCTTTTGGTTGTAATGGCTGTTGTGAAGAGATCGCAGTGATCCATCTTCGCCTGTTGCTGTGTGATAGTTTTGGGGTATCTTTTAATTTATTTTTATCTGAAATAAACTTCTAAGTATTTTTGTTGTTGTTTCTCTCTTGCTCCCTTTTCCTTATACTCCTAAAAATTTAGGAAGATGAGAGTGAAGAAGAACCTAAGCTCAAGTATGAACGGCTTTCTAATGGAGTGACCGAAATTCTCCAGAAGGATGCAGCCAGCTGCATGACAGTGCATGAAAAGGTATTGTGTGACTTTGTGGCTGACATAGCACTTCTGCTGGGTTTTATGTATTTATCTGTGCTTATAATGCATCAGTGTATTTCTGTGTAGAAGTGATGCCAGATCTAGAGTTGCACTGCAAGGCAATGGTAACATAAACAAAATTCACCATTTACCTGTATTGAGAAATCCACATATTCTCAGTCATAAAATAAGTAGTTCACATAGTTCAATTAACATCAGATCTCTCAGAATCAATTCCCTTCTTGTTTGTATCAAGGATTTTTTTCAGTGGGAAACACATTTCCTCAATGAGGAAATGAGGTGAGAATTCAAGATGCAGTGATTTGTTAGATGAGATGTTTACATAAGCTACTAGAAAAATGCTCACTCAGATTTAATTATGAACAGTATTAAGAACTGCTATCAGAGTACAGTCCTAACTTTTCTTTATTCAGAAAGAAAGCTGGTATATATTGTACTTATTTGTACAGTCGTGTCAGTAAAGACCAACTTGATCACGTCAGGAACATATATATTCGGCTGTGGAAGACATGTTAATACAGTGTAGAAGAAAGTAATTATTGTATTTTTTGTTTGCTTAGGCTTTACTTTTGGGGGGTGGGTGTCGTACTAACACTTCCCTGTCCCCCTTCCCTGATTCACTATGTTAAAAACAAAGAAAGGAACTGCACATGCTAGAGCTTTTGATGTACCAGAGGTATGATAAGGATAAAGCAATAGACAATGCAAAATAGAGAAATTTAAAAAATAATTAATATTTTGTTCTTAAAAGAAATAAACTTCATGTGCTTCTTTAGTGAATTAAACAATTGCTTTTGTGTTTTGTGAGTTTTCTTCTCTTTTATATATACCGAAAAACATTTTAGAATATTGAGGCATTCCAAAGTGCATTTGAAAGTGTGAGTTAATGATTTGTCAACTACTAGTATGTAAAACATAGTAGCTATTTTCTGAATATATAATTTTTCATAGCCAGTAGTATCTCCTTAACAGTTATTGTTGAGGGATCTATCTTTATTATTTGGCTATATTTTTAGATTGACTTGTGCTGTGTTTCTTTTCCTCAGAGGACTGTTGCTATGGCTCAAGAGGCTCTTAAGATGAAGCTTGTATTTTAACTGTGTGAATGAAAACAATAAGTCTTTTAAAAATTTTGACAACTTAGAATTACACAGATATTTGGAAAATTGGCAAGCATTTTCTGTTTGTCTGTGGTCTGTTTCTGTTACCTTTTATTCCTGCATCTCAGGTAAATTTTGAAAGCCGAGAGTTTAACAGGATTTTTCTATAAGGATGTGAACAGATACAGTTTTTGCTATAGTGTCACAAAGCATGACAATACAGGAAAACTGTTGAAGTATCCCAGCACTTTCAGTTTTCCAGCAAACTAGATACACTACTTATGAGAAGAATCAATATTGTTAGAAGCCAGGTACTGCAGTCTTTTAGGAATAGGTCTCTTGCAACAGAGAGCTTAAAAATGATGCTGTTTTATAGGTTTTGCAAGGGTATTTCTCTTTCATTCTGGTTGGTTTTTTCAGGATTTTTTTCCTGAACAAACAGGAAAAACCCTGCTGAATGCTATCATTAGAAAAATTATACAGTAATATGTAAAATATAACACTGACTAAAGCAGTATAACTTTGCTGGGAATCCTGAGATCTGGCTTCTTCATTCACACTAATTTCCCCCCAGAATTTATTTTTTTCATTTCTGCTGCTAAAGCATCATATTTTCACCAGGCTTGCTGTCTGCACTGGATGACTAATCGTCATGGCACCTGGTGCATTCAAGCAGGCCTGTGCAGTGGAATAGTCATACCTAGTTATGTCTGCACACCTGATGTTTTATTAACCAGTATTGATTTTTTTACCCGAGGGACTTTTTTCTTCCTGAAAAAAGGCAACCTTGCAGGAGTGAAAGGCATTGCAGGGAATGAATTTCTAATGAACCCCTTCTTTCCCTTTCTTGCCTCCTTTTAATGTAGCTTCATATTTTAAGTGCCTGAACAGAAATTTCATTTTAAGCAATTCCATTTTGATAAATCCTTTTAAACCTTGACTTTCTGTAAGGTTATTTTTTAAAGATTGTGCTGCCTGACTGACACGCTTAGCAGTGCCTGTAAATTTGAGCATTTCATTATAGGTTGCAATGAAGCATGCTCACATGCAGTGAAATACAGAAAATTGAGTAGCCTAGACTATTTCAGTAATGCTGAAAGTGGGAGGGTGGGGGAGGGGGCAAATAAAAGAAACCTCTGTCATAGATCAAGTAGTACTGAAATTCTATCTTTTCTCTTTAGGTGTAGTTCACATGGTTAAATTAACAGCAGATCTCTCAGAATCAATTTCCTTCTTGTTTGTATCAAAATAAGTTTGTGATAGTATGGATTTATGTTGAGATTTCTTTATTTTGCTACTATTTTTTAGAATGAAACTCCTGAGATTTCCAAGGCAGTGTATTTGTCTTGGGAGTATTCTATTTAGGAAAGTTACTAGGTGAAGGAAAACAAACCCAGGAGTTATCTGTGTGCTTAAATGCACTGTCATAGACCTTCCATAATTCAACCGTATTTTACCAGTGGCTTGCATTTGGCCTTTTGCTGTGTTTGAAGACTTTGTTTTTATTTTAATAATGAAGGAGAATTAAAAATAAAGCTCAAAGGAAACATTAGGATTGAAACAAAGCTGCAGAAAGGATCTAGGAACTGTTTCAGATCTCTGTTGGTTCTTGCTCTCACGCTGCATTTTTAATTTGCTGCCACAGTCCATCAGCTGGTGTATACAGACTGCAGACGCACCATTAGTTGTCAGTGGATGAGGGTCCTCATGACTCATTCTGACAGCTAACTTGCACTATCACAGTAATATGGGCTTGAAGCCCTCTTTTATTCTTTGGGAGCAGTTAAAATAACCTTTCTTTATAGAAAGTGGTGGGCTTTTTTCTTTTCCCCAGTGTTGCTAATCCTGGAGTTCATTTAGCATTGTAGTATTTCTTGTGGTATCTTTGTGTTTTTGTAATCAGTCTCTTTCTTTCACAGTTTTTGGCACTTGGAACACATTATGGCAAAGTTTATTTACTTGATGTCCAGGGGAACATCACACAGAAGTTTGATGTTGTAAGTACAATCTTTTTTAGAACCCATTTACAGGCATGTAAAACTGCTGCAACGTACCAGTTAACACTCTTGCTGTGTTAAGTCAGTTAACACTTTTGTTACACCTGCAACTACACTAATGCATTCCATAACATAAAAAACAGTGCATGGTCCTTGCAAAAAGAAATTATACTGCATGTCTTTGTGGTGAGCACATCTCAGTTTATATATAATAAACTTTTTCATGAAGCAGAAGAGGAAATACATATTTAGGATTGCAAGTAGCTATTAAAAATGAACCCAGAAGCTCGTTACTTCCATAAGGCATGAACCTGTTCATTAGCTGACTACTGTCAGTTATTAGTTTGTGCACTATCACCTTATCTGGTTGCCACAAGTAATTGAAAACTGATGACCTTGCTGGCTCAGTTTATCAATTACAAATATATAATGCTAATATTTTATGTAAATGTGTTGAAATTTGATTTATTAAGGGATTGCATTGATTGAAGGAAAAGAAGAAGCCTTTTTTCTTATTGTGCTTTGTGGTATCAGAGGAATAAAATGCTAAATTTAAATCTCTGTTCTAGAGTTTTAAATGTTCCTTTTTATTGTGGCTATTAGTTCATTAGTTTCAAATTCCCTGTCTTTCTTGGGGAATGGAAGGAAAAGAGCTACAATTTCTTTTCTCTTCAGGTCATCAAAAATTCTAGTATCCAAGCACTACTACTAAGTTTTTCATAGTAGTGTAAGCACTAGCCATCACAAAAACCATCACAAGATGTGGACATGTTTGCGAAGAGAATTTACATTCTAAAGCTGACACAGCTGCATGGAAGGGGTCAGGTGTTTGTTTATATTTTTTTAAAATCTAATTACGAATTGTGCAAGGGAGTAGAACACAAACTTAAGGCACAGCTCTTGAAGGAATTTTTAGATTTAATTTTAGTCAGATTGACAATGACCTTACTGGGGATTGATTAAAGTCAAACTAATTATGTGCTTCTATTTCTTTTAATTTTGTATGTTCATCAGCCCTGCAGCTGAGAATACTGACTGCATTTCAGAAGAGGAAAAGCTTTTGGTGTCTCCCTTGCAGTTATGATTACTTTACATGCATACTTATTGATAGAGTTTCTCTGAGAAGTAGGAGAAATTCTCTCTCTCTCTGAATAATTCAGGTCAGATTAAATGTACCTGAATTATTCTCTTCCATTGCTGCAGTAGAAGACAGAGTCAGAGACTCACTCAAATGAAGTGGAGATTTTGTATTGAGTCTGAACAGTCTTCTTCTGTCCACTACCAATGCCTTTTTCTCTCACACTGGTTCCAAGAGATTAAATCCTCCTTCTGTAAAGACTTAGGGAACTGGCTAGGTGTACAGCAGGGAGCAAGGGGACCTGTTACCTGCTAAAGTCCATAAAACAAAGTCCCTGCATTCTCTTTATACACACCCTCCCAAATTTGCTGGTTTTTTCTTTGTTTTTCTTTGCTAAAAAGTCCTACCAGTGCCTGCTGGGAGGGTGGTTTCTGATGAAGTTGGTGTTGGACTATAACGTTATTTTTTGCTCAGAGATGTTACGTTTCCAAACTTAGCCTGCCTCAGGATGATTTTTGTGCTGTGTCTCTTGTAAAGATGGCAATGATTTCTTTTAAAACTATTGTTAGAGTACAAACTGCTTTTTGAGCTGGAGAATAGGGAAAAGATATGTTTCTTGGATTCTATTCTTAATGTTTATATCTCTTTTTGTAATGTATGTACGTGTCTCCAGTGCAATAGATTATGTCATGGATCAGGTGGAAATGGTGCTTCTTTTTTCTTTTTTTTTCCTCTTTTTTCTAGTTTGAAGAATAATGATTTTTTCTAGCACCACATGTCTTTAAAAGAAAAGTTTTTCGAGGAACAACTAACTGTTGTAGAACAGAACAGGCTGCCTATGTGAGAAGAAAGCAGCTCTATGATGTACATGGCTGCTTAAGCTGAGAAGTTTTCTGAATTAATAATGTCAGCTGCTGAACCTATAGACAGTTTATTTTGAACTGGCTGCTGTACACCAAAATATTTTCCTTCTAACCTGAACTTCTCATGTTGAATTTTAGACTAGAGGCATCACTAGCAAACATTCAGTGGGGGTCTTCCTTCGGTTTTCTCCTACTTTTTCTTCTTCATCCCTCTTTATTGTCTCTCCTGGGGAATTTGTGTTAAAATACTGGCATGTTATAAATCCCACATAAAACCTAACCCTTTCTTGAAAAAAAAGGAAACTATTTCCTCAAGTCACACAGGGACAAAGCATTTCTTGTAAATGTGCTGGCAAAGACTCTTTTCACTAGTTGTGTTTTTTCTGGTTCTTTTTCTCTGATCCAAAAAGAGCAAATTCCTTCTCAGAACCTTTTCATTGGTGAAATGGCATGCACAGCTCTATCTTGCAGTTGTTAATAGTGGAAGTACCTGTTATTACTGGTTATTTGAAATTAATACTGTATCGAATTTTTTCTGAGTAAAATAGCAGTATTACCACTGAAATGTTTTAACTGTTTGCAGTAAACAGTGTACCTGAGGAGTGTCTTGTATGTATTTTTCTTTTTGAAAGGATCTATTCAGCAGATGTTTTCTGTCTTGTGGCATTGCAGAAATTAATAGGAAGGATAGCAATGTGATGTCCTTTGTGCAAAAGAAAACAGCTACATAATTCAAGGAACTGTACTTCATTTGAGTCTTTATTTTTCAGGGGTTTGTTTTGGTTTTGGGTTTTTTTTTTAAAGAAAATCTGAGATGAAAAAATTAATTCTTTTTCTATACATATGTTAAATGTGTAATTAGCAAAAACAAACCATACGTGGGAAGCTTTAAAAGCTACTAGATTCAAACACTGTTTGTATGTAAAATAAACCAGAATTATGCAAGAGGGGTTCTTTTTAAGGATTTTTAAAAAATTCATTTTAATGGCAAGTTCATATTAAATATACTTAGAAAATACCATTACTGCTCTCATAGTCCTCTTGATTTCTGTTTTTCTTTCCTAATTTCAGGAAGCCATGTTAAAAAAATATAAATGGACTTGGAAATTGAAGAAATAAGAATTTTGCTTTTATAATAAATCCTTTATTTTCCATAATGATTTGCATCTGCATTTGAGCCAAATTGTAAAAAATAAAACGGTACTCATATCAAAGGATTTGCAGCAAAATGAGGGAGAGAATTCACAGTGTGTTCCATTATCTCCAGAATGGCCAAGTTTTGAATGGCAGCACTACTTTTGAAGACCAAATGCATTTATCATTTTAATTTGAACTAAAAGCAGCTGTAAGAAACACTAAAATATAAAGCTTGGTGTCCCAGAAGTTCTGCTATTGTAACACACGTTTTTGTTTGTTGTTTAAAAAACCTATTAGGATTGAACTTCTTGATGTCCATAGCAGCAAATCAATGTGGTTATCCTGGATTACAAATACTGTAGTGTCTAATCTACTTTGACCCATAAATATTCAGAGAGGCTTCTGTGAAACTAACGTCAAAAACTAAAAATTATTTTCAGAATAAAGTCTTACTCTCATCCAGCTCTTCAAGTATCCAGTGCTGAATCCTATGCCAAGTGGATGACTAGTCTTTTTAGGCTTGCAGCTCCTCTTGTCAACAGCAGTGGAAATGTGTGCTTTGAAACTGTTGTAAGATATTTGTGGTTTGGGGGGAATTTGGCCTTTTGTGTTGCTTGGTATCTCAGCAGTTGTGCTTGTGCGCTTGTTATCCCTGTCTCCTCTTTGGCTAGGATTTCTGTAGCTCTTGCCAGGATGGCCTGTCTTTGACAATGTCAGCTGCCTAAGATTAACTGGTATGCATCCTCAATAGTGTATGTTTGACAAACTGGTATTCTTTTGTATTAGGGTTCAGTGCATTGAGTGAGATGAAATGTGTCAAATACACTGAAAATTATTACTAAAAGGCAACAAGAAGAGGGAAGAAAAGCCTGCTAATTCCACTGACAGATGATGATGTAGGACTGATTCACAGCACGTTAATTCCAAATGTCTCTCCATCTTTCTTTCCTTCTTAGACTGTCTACAATTTATTCATATAATTATTGCCTGAACTGACATCCTTTGGATTAAGGATTTGTAAATATGAAGAAAGCTGTACAAACATGTTTAGTTATGTAACAAATCAAAAAGCTTTCAAAGGGCAAGAAAACCTGTCCCCATTCTGGTCTTCTCATAAACATCAGACTTAAAGCAAAAGTGTTAAGAAGTCTTGGATGGTGCCAGTGATAGTATTTTAGAAGGGGAAAGACTGCCTATTTTATAAGTAACAAGGATTTAAATGTTTCATGCATTGAAGGTATTTCAGTAGCGATGCATGAGTCTAGAAAACAATGTAAATAGTGTTTTCAAGCTTCTCTTACAACAAAGAAATTAAAGTCCTTTTAGCATGCAACAGCTGTTGTGAGCTATTCAAGACTGCTGGAGTTTCAGAAGTAACCTCCTCACAGCATATCTTTTTACAATGTATTTCTTTCCTTGCCTTGTAAGGTTTTTTTTTTTGTGATTGTCTCACATTGTGTAGCACTAACTATTTAATTACCATTTTTTTTTATTGGAGTGATAATAATCCAAAACCACTATGTCATCTCTGCTACCTTGAAGGCTTGAAAGGGAGTTCCTTCTGTGGTGGTATTATTGCCTTTGGGTGTATTGAAGTTACAGCACTCACCAGTCTCTGGAGCAAGACCTTGCTTGAAGGTCAGTCTGTGGCCTATTGGTTTTGCTGATAACTGAGCAGGTTGCAAAGAAAACCAGAGGTTTCAGTAGACTTGTTGCCTCTTGACAAGAATTTAATTGTTAACAAGAAAAAAATATTTCTAACAAAGAAACAGCTGTTCTTAAGCACTAAGTGCTGCTGCTAGTAATGATACAAAACCTACTAACTGCTGTAGGAGATTAAGCAACGTCTTTCAATGGGGAAGGTAACTTAGCTTTTTAGTGCATAATGAAGTTGCTTTGGATGGAACTTTGCATGACAGTTT